ACCAGGTACCCAAAACATGCGGGCGCCGCAAAATATGTTTTTTAATAATTTTTTTTTTTTAATAATTTTTTTAATTTTTTTTTTTTTTTTAAAGATTTTTTTTGTCTTCACATACCGCACGTCAAACAACTGCCCTAAAATGGTGATTGATCACAAATTCCATAGAAATTTAATTTTAAAATATTCTTGAAGAGAAAAATATTCTCCAAAAAAATGAAATGCCGAACATTTCTGCATTGGAAGTGTGTCGCGCGTGGTTGTAAGTTTCGTTTTTATGAATTCCTTTTTTTTGCTTGAAATTCCTTTTTTTTTGCCATCATGATTCCTTTTTTTGGTCGCACAAGGTTGGCAGCTCTGTGTATCTGTACACGGGCGACAGCGCAAGTAGAGAAGCAATCTAGGCAAATACATTTGCCTCAGAGACCCTGATTACATACATGACACCAGTGTCTGATTGGAGAATGGAAAAAAAGGTAATATACTGTATGTGAATGACTACACTTTGATTAAAGTATTTCACCCTTCTCTTGGGACTCCTTAACCTTACATATTTTCAGAGAAACTCACATAAGTGATGGATGGGACACTCATGGTTGTCAAATTTATGTCCCTGTACCTCAACACTTGCATTGGCATGTCAGTCAGGCATGACTGTAGTTTAGAATGCTAGTTTCACTTGAAGTGTGGTGCATAATTTCTCAAGGAGAGGGCTTTCTTTATATCCCCATGACAACTTCATGAAAACTGAACATAAACAATCTCTTGTAAATTTTAAAGACAAGTGGAGTAGGCATATGGTTTGAAATAGAGTAAGTTTAATTAATGAATTCAAATTTGCACTGGAGCGATTATGAAGCCAACAGGCCTGTCTTCATCAGCTCGAGATTGCCAAATATCCCACTATTTGAACTATCCCGATTGCAAATTATCCAGTTATTTTGCGTCTTCATCAGCCCGAAGTTGCAATTAGCGGGTTATTTGGTCGAGATATTCTTCCCAATATATCTTGGGCTAGTTTGCAAAATATCCCGCTATTTGTCCGGTGCATCTTCACCAGCTCAAAGACTCGCACAATGTGCAAACGCTGAGCAAAATATCTCGAGCTAATTTCTCGAGCTCAAGTTTCAAGTTTCAAGGTCAAGTCTCGAGCTGGTGAAGACACAATTTGTAACTTCAGGATTATATCGCAAATCAGAAATAGCGGGCTTTTTGGCAATCTTGAGCTGATGAGGACATACCTAACATGTACCGGTAAATGTACATACACTTACAGCTCAAAGTATTGTGCCTCCCGTACAGACTACGCCTCCGTACACCAGGAGATGAGAGAGAAGCTGTTGTAACAGTGATAGGGCTGGTTTGCAAGCTGCCATGAATCAAGTGTTTATTACATTAGAGCTTTTAGCAAGTTTGAGGAGGTGTCAGTTTCTGTGTCTCCAGGACAGATAGATTCCCCATCAGGAAAGGATATCTGCTTGGGGGATTCCTCATTTGTGACCCCTTCTTTCAGGCCCTCTGTTGTTACACGAGCTCTGCAGGATTGGCTGAATGATGTCAGTGATCATTGGAATTTAGTGAACTCCTCCACATTTCCCTAGAGTTTTGACAGACTATTACTAGTCCCCAGTTAATAAATATGATAAACGAAACGATGTTACCATTTATAGCAAGTCTTCATTCTCTTTTGAACTATAATTTTAGATGAGGCATTAAACATGAAATAATCTGGTACTCTAAAGACCTTTAATGCATTTCTTTGCCATGCCTAGACCCTTCACAGGTACTGAAAAGGAAAGAAGAGAAATCCCCTTTCGCGAGTCGGTAGCGGATTAATAGGTAACCTTTAACAAGACTTCAGCTAAACCAATATTATGCTTAGATGGGACCTCCAAGCCTTTGCACAGATCAATATTGAATAGGAAATCACACGGAGAATAAGGGTGGTGGCTTCAATAGGAAATCCGGTGGAGGCAATTGAAATTGCAGTTAGCCAATGTTGCAATATATTTTCTGGGAGGTTAGCGAGTGATATTCTTATCAATAAGGATTTGGTAGGAAATTAATGATTCTGTAACTCCATCTACATGTACAAGGACAGATTACAAATTATTTTAGATGTGTTTACAATTTTTTCAATGTATAGATAAATTCCCGAAAGAGTACTTTAAACGTTGTTCAAAGATATGCTGTGGTGCTATAGAACAGTACAACCCTTCAAGTTGTTCATTTTTCATTCCAGATGGCCTCTTAAATCATTGTCTAATGTCAGTCCCAGTTTTAAAGGTACTATGTCCCATTTGCTTTGCAGCCAACTTCAAATTCTGTAGAACTTTGCAGGAATTATGAACATGTCACGTATGCCCTCTCTGTGAAGTTTAGACGTTAGATGTGTCCTAATATTCAAATTATGCAAGGAAACCCGTTTACTTTCTAGACTTTACTGTTAGACACTATTGAGTGACGGAATGACTTCTTCTTTGTCTTTGGTAATAACATAAATCAAATGAGCTGTAAAGGGTACATGAGCATTTGTCTACATCAATAACCCAATTCTTGTAATGGCCAAAATTAAACTGATTGAATCTTTGTGCAGCACAAAACGTATGACCATTCGGTACAAGGGTCTGGAAATCAGACTATTACTTCAATGATTGCAACCACTAAAGTCGATTCGACATTTAATGGTCGTTTTTTCCCATTTAAAAGACATTTTCATGCCATTTCATTTTGAGGGAAGTTCTTTCAAATGCCGTTGGAACTTGACCTTTTCATTTTTTGGCCTGCAAATGGGACATAGTACCTTTAAATGTCAGTCCTAGTTTTAATGATCCCTGTTTTCCCTCAAGATGCTGAATTATAAATGGAAGATCTGAAAGGGAAATTAATGTGAGAGATGGTAATTCATTGTTCTAGTAGTATTGCAGCTCTTCAAATCAGTTCAGAACAGGAAACCAAACCGTTGAAATGCTATGAAAGATGGACCATTACTAATGGCACAGCATTTGTATTTTGTGCATCCTTGAAAGCTGTCAGCTGAACTGCATGTTTCACACCATCTCCATGAAGGCACATAATGTGGACATGTTCACTGTACAGTCATTTTAACAACACATATATCTAGAGTAGTATTGTACAGTAATTTTGTAAGGGTTCAATATGTTTTGTGTAGGCTGCTGCCTGTCTGCATTCACAAAACATGAATATAGTGCAATAGAAGTAAAAGAAATGCTTCTTTTCTTTATCATTGTGTACATGATGATCTGTTTTATATCGTGAACATATTGTATGCTTGATTGATATATGAAATAAGTGCTTGATTGATAAATCATATGAAAATACTCCAGGGCCTGAAAGTTTGAGTAGAAGTGGGCTTTTTGCCCTCCATCTTCTAGTGTAACTTCAAAAGGCAAGACAACGTATCAACATTAGGCAAAGTTGTTATGTTTGAAAATTCTCCTTTTCTTTTATTTGATTGTTGAGAATTTGGGAACCTAACATAGAATTCCTTATCTTGACGTTGAGTCACCCTTTATGGAATAGTCCCCTCTCTCAGCTATGACAACCCTGCACAGGCTTACATGTACATGTATATGTACATGTACATGTAGCTGGTAAGGGAACATTTCACCTTCGGACCTTGTTTCGATTCATTCGCCTTTGTGTCTGAGCCTGGATTCCAGCCAGGCCCTCCACTCTCTCTTTCTCTCTTGAGTCTGACCTGATGATGACAACCTTTCTACAACAACTGGCACTTGGCAATCCGGCCAGGTTATTGGTTCCAATTGTACCACTTACCTTATTACAAGTCATTGAAGTCTATATCTTTCTTTCCAATCAGGACTAGATTTATCAGACTTCCTTGATCTCTATTGAGCTGCTGATGGATTGGCTATCAAATTCTGCATGCGCTTGAGGCCGATATGTCTTATTTGAAGGTGTACTTAAAAAGTTGAAGTCAAAATGAATGTCATAAAATATGAGGTTGTTCTTTCTTTGAAGTTCAATGCAGACATTTGATTTCTTCATATGAGAGAGAGATACATGTTATGGTTTTGTGTTTATACATGTATAATGAATAGTGGGTTTATTACTTCATAAATGTTAGCAGCTACAGACAATTGTAAATTTGCATCATTAAAGAGTTGTGTACTAGCCTCTTTCATTTATATTTATTGAGTGCTGTTATGGAGGCAGTGCCAGAATACGTTATTGCTATGGATACCAAAGTAAGGCTGTACAGTATGTTTACATTGTACAACTGACATTTGGACTAATTTACCTACTTGTACATGTAGAAGGGAATGAACCTTGAGCCCGGAAAAACTTCACAAAATAAAAAATACACTTTAAAGCCCAAACAGTTATCATGATTGATACATATTACATACAATGTACACATACATTGTACATTCGTCCTACGTGCGCCAACATTTAAATGAACCTTTTAAATGTATTCTTGACGTATTAATCTTGTTCTCAGTGCTCCTGTAAGTTACCCCTACGCACCCCTTTGTACAGGCTAGTGTGCAAAACCACAATTGAAAGCCATCGCTGTTGGGCTTGTAATGGATCCCATATGTCCATTAGTGATTACCGGTATAAAAAGGAATGTCAAGATATTTTCTTTTTCATGATACTCGTATGTTTCTCTACATATACAGTGTATATTCAATGTGTCAAGTCCCCCTTTTTATAAAGCTGAAATGATTTTGACATTGTACAAATCTTCGGTTTGCTGATAGGATTCTGATGTTGAATATACTAGAGACTTAAATGTTTGAATTTGTTTTTAAACCTATTCACCTGAACTGTTTGTAGAAACTTAGAAAGAGTAATTCCTTGAATTCTATATGTAGGCCTACTATGCCTGTACTATGCATGTAGGTTTTTGTGTTACTACATGCTCTAGTAAACAATGCTTGTATCTTTTATGCTTCCAAGTCTGACATAACAAAGAATAATACATTTCTCTTTTATCCCCCATTCTTCTTGCTTTGCAGATGAGCGAGGGCAGGCGGACGCAAGTGGTCCTCTTGGATGACAGGAGAGTGGAGTTACTGGTGCAGGTAAGTTGGGTGAGGGTGATTCACTCTGTTTGTGACTCACCTGGATAGGTGTTCCATGCGCTCATCTTCACGAGAGATCGAGCGAAAAATCGCATATCCCAGGGCAAGGTCAGGTAGTTTGAAGAAGCACCAGCACGAGCACCTTGGAATTGAACCCTTCCGATCTATACCCCCAAACTCCATCATACGTGGAAGGTTTTGGGGATCGAGGAGGAGGGGGGGGGGGGGGGGGGGAGAGAATGAGCAGGTCCTGTTGTCAGTCATATAGGGGATGTAATTGATTTGTGAAGGACAACAGGCATGCCATTTATAAAGACTGAAATCGAATGTAGACAAGTGATGCCTACATGTATTTCCTTAATATTGTATGACTGAATAATGAGTTTAAACACAAGTTTTAGATTGTGAGGAAAAAGCAAGAGCATAGACGTTTAACTTGTGTTGGGTGTTATATCTATGCACATGCATTTTTCAACTTCTAATATTGTATGACTTTATCAGAAACTCTTTAAACTGTAACTATGAAGTACCATGGATTGTAAGTTGGTTTTGACGGAAGTTTCGATCAGGAACTGAATAAAAGCCTATCATATGACCAAGGGTTTATCATCTGAAACTGTCGTCATGCCTGCACCCGTAACATGATATTATAATAGGCCTACATATGATTATGTCTATACTCAAAGAAGAAAGCATGCTGCAGGTTTAAGTAATTCATAGAGAATCCATGACTTGGTTTGCTTAAATCAAAGGTGAAACACCAGTGATAACGTGATATCCGACTCGTGTCCAGCCGGCTTGCTGCATGAATGCGCGTGACAGCCTCTCCTTCCCTCAAACCTTTGATGGTAATCACCCATTCTCAGGTTTGTTCCTCCCAGCGCCTGATGACCTTTTGCTCAAAGAATATGCCTTAAATGAACAATCCTATATGCTTAGTTAAAGGAATGTAAGGAAAGTTATTCTAGTAGATAGCCTTTGCATTGGTTCAAGGCAATATTAGATTGCAGTGGTCACAATTAGTTTCTATAACTGGAATAATTATAAACCACAGTGCAAATATTGAAACATCTTTTTATCTCTTGTCCAACATTTAAACTAATTATTAATAAAAAAAAGGGGTTGTGATAGTGAAATTGAAAACCACCCAATGCTGCTAGTCTCCCAAATGTTCCTGAACAATTTTAGTTTTCCTTCTGTAGGACGATTTTGTTAAGGCAAAATTTACTTTGTGAAATTGGAAATTTAGCCTGGAAAACTGGAAAACTACCATAGTACCAGTATATAAGATTACAGTCTGTTACATTACCATGCAGGAGCCTTGAAGAAAATAGGCCCACGTGAACATTGAAGTGAGAGTTATTGTTCTAAAAGACTTAAAAAGAGGTTTGATTTGTTTTGTGATAAAAAAAAAAATGTGGCATCTGGTCAAAACTTTAAAACTATTTCAAGTCGTTTCTAGAATGGGAAAGCATTGCAACGTCAATCCTGTTCTTAGGACTCTGCTACCATGGTATTCTTTCATATAAGAATAAAAAGAATGAGAGAGCTAGCAATTATTTCCTACCTTAACCAGGACCCGACATTCTCTTTAACCTGTAAACCAATTCATTATTTTACCTCCTTTTCATTCTGGGTCTGGGGATAAATAAGATGAGCTGATCTGTGAACATGCCTGTAAGGAAGCAGGTGGCCTTTGAGCAGTTGGTCAGAGCACTTGACATTTTATGATCTTTTAATCATCCAGCGATCAAAGCCTTGCCATTAATCACACTAAATCTCGGTCGTGATGGCCTAAAACAGTCAGGCCTGGATATCAAAAGCTAAAGACAAACTTGAAGATCAATTAGAAATCACTTTTGATGTATTTTTACATGATTTTGTGTGAAAGAAAGTAGGGTAAGTAGTTTGAAACATGCATTTTCATCCCTGAAACCGATTAGGATTGTTTACTATGGGCATGGACAGTCGTATGTAGTGGATTCACTCGTCATGACTTACTCTGATTCTGAATTTCCTTCCCTTTTCATGTTTCAGGTAGACAGTTTATTTAGAGCATATTTTTCTGCAAAAGATCAATTTATATTTATATACCTCTTAATCACAGAGCTGTAGGCTTGACATTATGCTTATACCTGTCATACTTTTGCCACTGCCAAACTCTAATAATGTCAAGATGAATCATACGATAAATGAGGCTAGGCCCCAAAATACAACCCAAGACTTCCTACTTGACACGCAATCTCACTAATTTGATTTTTATAGTCCTATCATATTTGTGAAAGAAATTATGAAATATCTGCACAGCATTTGTCTGCTAGTGATATGATTCAGAGTCTTTCATTTGATATAACTCAGAATTCTGAGAAGTGACAGTACAATGAAATTTAGATATTTAAAAAATGGATGACAAGTAAATATGATGGATAGATAGAAAGATAAATAGATAGAGCCTGGCACTCCTCTCATATTCCAGGATACATGTAGATTTAGATACCTTGAGATAGATAGATTCATAGATAGATTGAAGAAAAAAAAGTAGAGAGAAAAACCTGTGGGTAAAAAGACTTCAGGAAAGGAGGAAAAAGAGGAGATAAAAAGGTTGAAAAGGTCAAGAAGAGGAGACAGATGGGAGAGATAGAGAGAGAAAAAGAAAGAGAAAGAAAGAAAGAAAGAGAGAGAGAGAGAGAGAGAGAGAGAGAGAGAGAAAAGGGAAAAAGGAACCGATAACACGGAAGAGGAAAAAAGAGGGGAATGTTTTAGTAGCCCTAAATTACCTGAATTACGGTAAGTATGCTTAGCAGTAATTTGCGTTTCCTGATCCTATATCCGGGCTGATGAATGTAGTTTGCAATTATTAGCCCATGTTATGATCTTCTGACATCTGATAAGTAAAGAGAAAGAGTAGTATTTGTCACAGATGCATTTGGAGTATTATTGACATATCTGAACAGAAGCTGTTAAAATCTCAATTAGTGGTCCTCGATTGTCATTTCCAAACATTGGAGAAGCCGAGGGTCACTTAGATTTCACAATTCTTTCATTTCTCTACTGTATCCTATGTGTTTATCATTCAATTGAGGAAACATAAAGTTCTTTAGTCTTTACACTCCTGTTCAAGACCAGTTTTATTGGATATGATTTTGCCCTTGCAATATATAATCATATATTGTTGGGTCTGTCAAATTTAGCTGTATGTTCTTGCACATCATAGGTAATATTGAAGATTAAAACAGTAGGGATTCTAACACTGTACTAGTATTTTTGTTTTGCTGTAGACCTACATTGTACATGTAGGTTCATGTATGCCTTAAAGTTTGAACTTTTCTGTAAGTGTACCAGTCATTATACCTTCCTTAGCTGTATATTCTTAAGTCATCACAAGGATTTGACAATATTGAAGGTGAAGACTATTAAGATGTGTAATTTTTTGTAGGTCAAGTCCACTTCCCCCTCCATGTCTGATTTCATTATTTATAGGATTAATAAGGGATGGTACTCTCTTTAAAAAAAAGAGTGAACATTCACTCTATTTTCACTTTCTTGGGAGTGACGTCCGTGATCACTTGTTAAGGAGTGAAAATCGATTGATTTTAGAGTGCTCTCTAAGAAGAAAAGAGTGAATGTTCACTCTATTTTCACTACATTTTCACTCTCCAGAGGAGTGATGTCCGTGATCACTCGATTTTTTTTAGAGAGTACATGTAGATATTTTCAGTGGGTAATTGAAACAAATAATGTTGTATTTCATGCGTTAGTGAAGATTATTTGCTTATCAACAGTTGATCAACTAATGAATGCCAATATTCAGTTTAATTTAACATCATTAAAAGTTACTGCTTTCATTCCTAAGACTAAGTACTAGGGAATTCCTGCATCTTACTGCACTGGCAGTTCTCATCTTGGTAGCAAGCAGGAAAAATCTGAAATTTATGAAGTGCCAGTTGTCGTAAATCAAACATATGCTCCATATTCATGGTCTGTCTGAAACTGAAGGATGAAAACTGAAAACTGTAATCTCTTCCCATATTCTCTTTCTCCTCAAACCATCCTATAAAATGTCAACAGGCTGGAGCCTTACCAGGGATCTCTCTCTCTATCTCTCTTTCTTTCTCTCTCTGACTCTGTCTCTGTATCTGTCTCTTTCTCTCTTTCTGCGCCTTCATCCCTGGACGACCTGGAGACCTGGCCCCTGCTCTTTGCAGAAGTCATCTTCATAAATTTTAAATTATCCCTGGCACCAACGACTGTATCCTCTTTTTCTTAATTGGCTTCTTTAGCCAATCCAGGGACATGCCAAGATGGATATACAGTAAATGTATTCTTTTTTCTGTGGATTTGTTGATATACGAAGGGGCTTGAAATACTACTGGGAGTAGGGGAGTATCAAAGAATCAACTTTGAGCTGGAATGGACATAAATGAGGCTAAAGGGTGACATATTTATAGGTAGTCTGTATTAGTATTAATTGCATTTGAATGCTTGTGGTGTCTCTTTGTCTGCAGTGGTCGGTTTTGATTGCAATTCAAGGAGAATTTTCTCGTAGTTGGCATCAAAGTTTCAGCTCTTCTACATAGATTGTGCTTTCAATTCAAATGACCCAAATGACTATCATTGGCATTATTGTCAGACTATGTATCCAAATTGTTACAGATTTGACAATATTTTATTTGGTTTCATGTAATATAAGTTTGAAGAGAATCATATTTTCAAATGGATAGACTCATTGCTATGATTAATGTATGAGTGATGTTGAATGACTTGTATCCCAATATATGTATAGTCTATATCTACATACCTGATGATGGTAACTGAATCATTTATTATTAGGGACTGGTTGAAATAGATTTGCAAATACATGCATTATTAAAGATTTCACAAAATTCAATAAAGAGTATTATTTATTAAAAGAAGGTTCCCCATCATCTCATATTTCTGCTTTTATCCTTGATTATGAACCCCTTTTATTCAGCCTCTATCAAGAACAAATATAAATACATCATTCATGATATTCTATTTCCTGTAACTTAACAGGAACTCTGAGGACAAGATATGTTTAAAAAGGTATTAGTTCAGACGTCATTACATTAAACGCAAATAGGAACCTCGGCTGCATGGCAAAGGTATGAAAGTATTATGAATACATGAACAGGTACCTGTGCATACAGGTTACGCCATAGGAAAACACAGTCTTGGTTTATGGCTTCCTAATGAGAAACAAATTTGTCCTGTGATAGATTACATCCTGAACCAATTTGTTCTTGTCATCCATCAAGTTCAAAAAGTCTTGCAGTTGACATACATCTGCAGTGTTACATGACGGTTCATAGCCAGTGTAGTGTCTTATTTGTAACCTTGTAAAATGTACACAAATTGCATATGCGTCATCTGTTTTTAAAATAAATTTGTTACTATTATAAGATAGCTGTTAAGGTATATATGTCTGAATACTGAACAAGAGATAGTTATCAAAGGGTAAAAGTTTGCATGTAGGCACTATGCAGACATGTTTTCAAATTATATCAAAATAGAACTACAAACAATATTTTAAGGATACACATGATTTTGTTTGCTTTGGATTTTCATGAACATGAAAGGTATACATTTGCAGCACTGTCCAAGAAGGAGTAATGCCTTTATAATTAGAAATCCTTATCGTGACACGTAATATCAAGCTCCCCCCTAGCCTCACTGGAGATAAATAGAATGGAAGTTGTCACTTTATGAATGATTGTTGTCATAGGGGGAAAGTGCCCCTTCCTCAATCTGCCGTTTTGAATTATGAATCAGAGTGAGATGTTATGATCAAATGTTAGGGATAGTTGTACTCATAGTACACTTATAAAATTTATTTAAAAAAAAAAAAAAATGGGGGGGGGGGGGGGTCAAGGAGGAGGGGGGGATTGAAAAGCATTGGACAGTTCCTCATCAAATAGGGCATGTCTTCCCAATGTAATTCTTGATATATGACACCAGCATTGATATAATTTCAAAGCCGAATAGCAGATGTTTTTGTTAATATTTTCAAAATGTTACTCGAGACATGAGGGAGGGAGCTGGAGAGGATAACAAGATATAAATGAGAAATGCTGTACAAGTTGAACTAAATTGGCAGAGTTGAGTAGGGCAGATGGGACATGCAGTCATAAAGTCTTGTCATAAATCTATACATGTAGATGTGAATGATATGGATGAATTACAGTCAAAGCTAAAAAGTCACAGCATAACCATTTAGAAGTAAACACAGAACACTCTCTTCCATCGACTTGGAACTAGTAAAGTTCTGCCTCTTTTCTCGTGAATGCCTGAATGCACTGCATGGCTGATAACATTTGAATGCTTCTTTATCTAAACAAATGTTCCAATCATGGAACTCCCTCTTAAAATTCATGATTTATGGGACTCGTTGAATCACACTGCTAGAGCAATTCCAGATAATAATTCACATTCATACAGATCTTGCCCTAGCATCTGTTCTTATCTCATTTAGAAAATGTCAAGGAAACATGATAGGATCTGTTGAGGTACATCTCAAGACTCTGCTTCACTGAGCACCAGTGCGCACGCACAGGCAGTGCTCAAAGTAAATATTTATTGGTTATCAGAACGTGAGTTTTTTCTCAATAGTACATTGCCATTTCCCTTTGTCTACACGCTTCAACAAAATTAAGACGAAGCCCAAACAAAATTTGATGGTGATTCGTTTCCGTGGTAGGTCTACTTTTATATTTCAAGAAAGTAGATAATTATACTTAAACTTAGGTGCGAACCCAATGGAGCGAAGTTGTTGTAGATAGAATCTGACATGATGCATGCAACTTGTACTTTATATTCACTTATCTTACTCACTGAATATGCATCACATTAATGCAATCATGTGTTTGGACGCTTCCCTTTGTACTTTGTGCGAGCCAACCTCCCAAACTGGAAATCTATTTTTGGTATGGTGCGAGTGTGTTGTGGAGGGCAGGCAGCCAATATTTCATCCATGGTTAGATGACATCAGATGAGCGCTGTAGTAACCAAGGGAGTCTCCCCCCAGTGATGCGGTTTGCAATTAGCCCTAAACCCCATCTGGATTCACTCCACTAGCTTTGACTCATCAAATGGGATATTAGCAGAGAATCAATTTAACAATAAGAACCCCCCCCCCCTTACTCCTATTAATGACAATAGAAGAGTTGAATGTTCCAAAGGTGCCAAAAGCAGGGTTCACTGTTTTTTCTTCTCTTTCACAGTGCCTTCAAGAGGATTAGGTAGAAATAGAAATTCTTTTTGACAGCTCATACTAAATGAAAAACATCCCCCACAGAGTCTGGGCAGCATTATCAAAAATTGGATGTGACAATAACATTTCCTAAAAGGAGTCAGATTGTCACTATAGATGTGCAACGTAATGTTCCCTTGATCTGCACTTTTGAAAACTGCACTTTGCAGGCGGAGTTCATTCACTATTTCGAAAATCAAGGACAGAATAGGGAGGTAAAATGCCTCTTCGTTCAATTAATTCTATTAATTCATAATGCTGATGTCCATTTGGCAGTCACATAACCTTGGGCATGCATTATTATGATTAATAAATGAGTCCTGTAGAACAGCCATAGGAGCCACATGGAGGAGACAATGACTGTCCCCATCTTGGTTAATTGGATAATAATATGACAAGCGTGTGTGTGTTCAAATAGATGTCCACGTCCATTTGACAGCTGTACATATTTGTATGCAGAGATACAAGTCTGTTTAGTACATTCTGAAACTTTTTTCTTCTTCCCCCTACAGAATTATTATTGGATTGAAATATGTTTAATAACTTCTTACCCATGTATGATTTGTATAATTCCTTGGGAATGGAGGGGTAGCCAATTATGAATGCAGATCAGAACTGCAGACGTGCAGTCCTGTCCTAGTTAACGTAAGGCTCTGATGGAGACCTAATGGAGCTTTTCAAGCTTGCCGTACATAGTCAGCAAATAATATTAATTTTGCATTCATTTTCAGCACATGCACTCTAAAATGGTGATGCATCCCCTAGTGGTTTTATATCGTTCAGATATTGCTGGGATGGGATGAGGATGAGTTGAGATGCCACTCATGCATGGTGCCTAGCTTGAATAGAATATCTCTCCACGAAAGCAGATGGTTATGGTTTTAATTATCTAACCACTTATTATAGCATGCCTACATCTCCGTGCATCCTCTATAGCTTATGAATAAGGCTACAACATTATAAATTGTCAAACAATATTACAAGTCTTTTTCATAAAAATGTGATGTCTGTAATCTTATGAATATTATCATTCTAACAGAATTGATCAGAATCTGTTTACATTTTATATTTTCTTGAAGATAAATGAAAGATCCGTATTTTGATATTTTTAATATTTTATGTAATGTGGTATTTATATAGTTCCAGTATTAATCTAAGATCAATATAATGTTTTATTTGGAGGTGGAATGATTTACATCTTATGTCAATGTATAGATTACATAGTTTTGATGATATTGGAAGATGAGAAATTGCAGGAAATAACGATGTTTCTCTTTTTCCTTGTCTCTTTCCTCTTTCAGCCTAAGCTGCTTTCTGGTGATCTGCTCGACCTTGTTGCATCTTACTTCAACCTTAAAGAGAAGGAATACTTCGGATTAGCATTCCAGGATGAAACGTAAGATCTAGTTCCTTCTTTTCTTCATTCTTTCCTCCTCATATCTAAGGGCGCGTTCATGCTTGATTTTGAAGGCAAAACGAGCGATTTGTAACGCTCATCATAAACGCTCATCGTAATCGCAGTTCCACGGTGCACTGTTCATGCTCACTTCTCCAGGCAATTCTCCTTGGGTGGCCTTCAGCTGGATTCGCAAACCTGTGTGCGCATGCTACGTAGACCCACTAGAGGTCAGTGCGTTGACCCCATTTAAACGCGTTTACAAATTGTAAACGCATCTTTTTGTGAGTTTACGATCGGTGATCGTGATCGCCGTTTTTCGGTGATTCTACAAAAGTGAGCATGAACGCAATCGTGTTTTAAACTAAACGCGTAACAGATGCCTGATTCTGGCCGTCAAAATCAAGCATGAACGCGCCCTTATTCATAAGCAGATTTGATGGAGATTACACCAGTTGAGGGAGAAATCGGTATATCCCCAAAGGCCTAAGATTGGATTTATACTGATGAAGGACTTTTTCAGATTTTCAAGAAAGAGCAGTTTAAGTTCAAAAGCCTTTACCTCTGGGAAGCATATAGTCAAGTAGCAGATTTATTTTTATTGATCACACAAATGTAAATCTGTATCAACTCTGACTGTATAACATATATGGATATGTTTCATTTTAAAGGTATTACAAAGTTTTGGGAAATTTTGAAAAATGGGTGGATAGTGATTCTTTACAATTTTGATATATTTGGATGCTCATGTCGATGTATAAAAAGCACTGGAAATTTTAGCCCCTAAAACACTTCTGCTTTCGAGAAAAATTGAATATAAAGATTTACCGGTGCTCCCGGTAAATTTTGATAAATTTAAAATGGCTCCTACGGCCGTACTATGGTAGATGCGACCATGGAAATCTCAGAATATGTAGTTGTGGTATACAATTAGCGAACGGAAATAGCTAATCGGTCGATATTGGTCAAGAAACATTGTTTTATAGCTTAATTAATATCTTGACCTTGAGAGGGAGCTATACAACATAAAGTGATTATTATTCATAATTTCATAACTTAAGACTCGATTTCGACCGCGACGACGATCATTGAATATTGTAGGGTCGCATATGCTTCCAATATGTTCATTTGAACCAAATTCATGACCCCATACCAAAACTTTGTATTACCTTTAAACTTGTTTATTTGCTGGATATCAAAATGATTTGTTTTTGGTATGTGTGTATAAAGCAATATATCCTAGGAATTCTAGAATGATGTTTTTTTTCTTCTGAAATAAAATAATAAATCTGATTTGAACATTGCGTATTTACAGCAGACTACACACTTTGTGACAGTCAAGATGTCTTTGCTTCATGTACTGTAGCATTAATCATTATTCTCTCTTCCGGGGCTTGACAATTAAGTACATATACATGTATTATGTGAGGTTCATGTGCATTAGAAAGTACATGTGCAGCGACATGCTCTTAATCTTGTTAATTTGGGAAGGAATTAGATTAAGCCATGTGCGGGAGCAGGGAGATATTAAGTGGAGTAACATTCCCTTTTGTAAGTCAGCTGCGCTCAAGATATTAGTCTGCCATTCTGTGTGTGATACTTGGGAAAGATATTAAATTTGTAAAAGAGACATCCACCTGTGTCATCTGTGCTACTGTAAATTTGTCGCAGGAAGAAGAAAGAAAGGGAAGAGATAGAGAGAACTGCAAACTATTTTATTTCATTAATGAAGAAACGTTTGTTTCAGAGATTTTGCAAATGAAATAAGGGTATTTGAAGACTATTTCCATTTAAAAGCAAAAGTCTGTAAAATCACTTTGTGTCATTCTAGGAAAAAGCAGACAAAGTACTTTTGTGTCAAAAGAAAGACAATTAATTTAAAAAAAACAGTTGTTATTTGTTAATCCCATAATTTTCTAAAATTTATCGATGGGTTTTAGAGGAATTCCTTAGTGACATTTTTTTTTCTAAGACAGAGGTGTTTTTTAACATTTGATTTCACGTTGTTTAATAACATTTTACTACAATTACACTTATATTTATACATGTCTTCATATTTCTGTTAGCTCACATTGACCTATCATTAATTCCCTGGAGAAACTAAGATTTCTGTACTATGAAACCCTTGACAGAAAGGAAACCAAATCTGGTCTCATATATACAAAGAAGTGAAAATTAAGTCATACGATACTAATGTCTTGTTTCTGTAAGATGGTTGTTTAAGTCAAACAATGGGTCCCTTTCCAAAGAGGAACACTTTAAAACAATTATTCCAGCTCTGATTTGACAAGGAAGTCATAAAATATTAATATCTTGTTTGTGTTAAAAGATAGATGGTTGTTTAAAACAAACAATGGGTCCCTTTACAAAAAGTAACCTATTAACGTTTATGCCAGCTCTGATTTGACGGATTAATTTTTTATTATTTTCATGTATTTAAAACAAAATTAAGTTGGGATATGAAAATATTGTACCGGTACATGTAGGATCCATACGTACATGGATCTAATTTTACAATCCCCTTTTACCTCCTTCCCCCGCCCATGTAAAGATAATAAAGGAAATAAGGGATAGACTGAAATTGAAACTTTTCTCTACAGCATAGGCCTCCATGCCAATCCTAACAATATTTCATAACTTTCAGAAATCCTGTAAGACTATATTCTTTCATTTGATTTTCAATTATGGTTGCATAGTATTGCTTTGAAACCCAAGTTTACAAACAATTTATTCTGAATGCAGAGACGGATGTGTTCTTAATTCAAAATCTGTATGTAGGCCTGCAAGTAAATGCATGCCTTTTTACACATGTATTCCGTCCGTCCTTGCACAGTGGTTGCTTTGTCACAAAGCTGTCTACTGAAGTGGAGAAATGGTGGCCTTTCATGAAAAGGAAGGCTTTTACTGTTTAGCCATAGATTTTAAAGAATTGACAAAATGACAAAAGGGTATTTTGTTTGATGAGCTGCTCAGACCAGTGTACTCTCAAATGGGGCAAAGAGCATGAATCATATGCACAAACGTATACTATTATGTACCGGTACACGGTATTTGCCACCTCTCATGCATGGTGAATGGAGCAAAAGATTGCATGTCATAATTTCATAACAACCTAAAAGGAGGTATATAAACAATCTAAATGTAACTGTACCTCAACATGTATATTCAACTAGCTTGTATGAGCTAAAGGTCCTACCAGGAAAGTGTTGGTTTCCTTGTTCCTACATGTATAATGGACTAGCACATACGTATTGAAAACTTTTTATCCAAATGACATGAAAGTAGCGGTATGATTATTTTTATATGAATATGATGATTTTATAAGCCATGTACATTTTACTTACGTACTGATAGATGATCTTAAATTTTGTGTAATCCGGCTTGTTATATGCTTTTAATTTATATCATTACATGTATGTTTCTATAAAATATCAAATTCATCCAAAATATTTGTTTTTATGTAAGAATGTGCGAATGTTTCCCCCCAAGAAGATTTGTTTCCTAGAAACGTTGAGAAACATGAAGGTTATGAAATGTCAGTGAACGGGGAATTTTCCTTTTTGTTCAATTGGTACTGTGTACCTTGTTTCAGACAATGACATTTCATCATGGTCAATCGTGCATGAAAACAAAGTCGCCAAGATAAACCTATGACGTCAAAATGAAATAATGGAAGAAAAAGTATACCCACCTTGTCCATTACAATGAACCTGTAAAAAGTGATTATTTGCATGATCCCCAAAAGTGAATAATATGATTGTAAAGCTATGTACAAATAATATGAATAGCCACAAACATGTACAGTGTACCTATTCACTATGCATATGATATGTTATGTAAATATACTGTGTACTTTTGATTCAAAATATGAATCTCATTCAAATCTATCTATATTTAGGCCTACATGACATTTTATGCTTTTGACATAACTGAAAATTATAATAATGGTAAAAGTTTCATGTAAATGTATGCTTATAGTTATAGAGGAAATTTAAGGAAGAAATTTAAAGATTTATAAAAATAAATCCTTTTGGCAAACTGCCCACAGCCAATCAGAAACTTGAATAGTAGACGCATCTACATGTAGATGTAGATTGTTATGAAAGATGGACCTTCTCCTCAGAATAGAGCATTAATTTGCATAATCCGGTCTTAAGACTTCTTTTAAAGCATCTTGTCACCATTCATCATAGTCTAGCCTAATAACAGAGAACCCTTTAATATGCAGCTGATATACTCTGCACCTGCTTCTAGTGGTTAGGCTCAAAACATAAAGAAGTCCTACAAATTTAGTTTGGATTTAGACTTCCTTTCAGACATGCAGACTTTGCTCTTTTTTTTTAAATCTCTAAATTTATCATCTATTAATAGTATTTTATTGGTAATTTCCTCTTTTTTATTTATTGTGTATCTTAGATTAGGCCTAGATGTATATTTAAGGTTAATTTCTAATTCTCTGTTTTTTGCAACTTACGTGTAATATGACAAAGTAACACTTTTCCCCATTTTTTCCAAGACATCTGGTACAATGGCTCCTCACTGCAAGCAATTAAGAAGTATATCGCTACCGAGTTCGAGCGAATATTTATGTTTAGTAATATACAGTGTCGATGCAGATGTACATGTTATGATATGTGAATATCAGCATTCGTAGTTGAAATGATGATGAACTAAATGAAGGGAAATTGGCTTTGAAAGGAAATTGATTAAAAGTTGGCTAACTTTTACTAATCAATTTATTAATGATTGTAGTCTATTATTGGAAACCAGACTGCACGCTGTGTAATGGTGTTAATTAGACTGGAAATAATGTCCAGCCAAAGAAGAGTGTACAGTATGTAATTCTCTAGGGACACAGGTATACTGATTGGTAATTAAATTACAGGTGATAATTTTGTACCAGCAATGGACACTCTTGATTTAGTATACATTCCAGCTGTCCACTGCTGCTACTAATCTAGATGATTTATATCCAGGTGTACTGGACATAATCAGTCCTTTGAGAGCCAAAAGGGTGATAACTCATTTAACGCCATTACGGCTGTCAACAGACGATTTGTACTTGCTATCTTCACTATGACTAATAAACTTGTCTTCTGACCACTCTGAAGTGAATATACAAGCTATATGTTCATGTACATGTATATGCACATGAGTCCATATTCAAGACATTATAGGAATCTGATGTGCTTAGTCTTTTTGTAAATCCTACTAACAGAGGTAACGTTATAGCTCAGTTCCTTGAGATGTATAGAGAAAATGATTGCAAAGACCTTTGAAAATCAATTTCAAATAGCCTTGTTCCATCACCTTCAGAAATGTGTAAACATTACAATAAAATGATTTCTGTATGCAGTATACCGGGGAAGGGTGTTGAAGTTGCCCCTGAATTATTTTGTTTAATTCTTAGCGATCGTGCATCATTTTATGTGTATGTACCATCATAAAAAGACGAGGAAAAACACTATAAAACATTAAACAGAAGAAGTTATTAGTTTACAAAATAAATATTACAAGTTTAAAAATTGACATTATTGACATCATAAGTGTTCCTCAAATGTTGTTTTTCAAAGTTTGATAAAAAAATGTTATTGTTTTATTTGTATTGAATGCTTTTTAAATTTAAAGTGGAAAATTTGTATATCAGTTTCAGACATTCAGATACCGTTATTTTGATAACACCATTTCTTATTATACAGATACATGTAGAGGTAATTTGTACATGAAGGCCCTTAACTATAAAGCTGTGTTAATACTAATGTCACTGTGAGCTCTCCATCTCAAAAGTAATGGATGTGAAAGAGAGCCCTCTTGTGGTGGAAATGAAAAAGTCACTGTACTCTCAAGTTTATGAGGTAACCGTCTAGCTATGTCATGGCTAGTACACGACTATGAGTCATACTTTATGGGTAACACAAAAGTTATTTAGCACCACACAGAGATTAAGGTTATAAAATATATTTTAGAAAGCATAAGGCTTCACGGAGGAGAAATGTACACAATCACAAAGTGTCAACATTCCTTGTGTTGACATGATAGATTACAAGTGTTTTTTTGTTTGAGTCTCCTTGTAAGCAAAGAATACATACTGTACACAAACCATGCACTTGTGCTTTTTATAGTTATGTCTACATGTACTGTAGTACTTTTCATTGATTATGAGATGGTGTGCAAAGTTTTTTTTCTTCTAGAGTCCAAACTTCACATATGATACCCCATTAAATCCTTTATAGATTTAATAACCACTCATTTTGTTTGCATAGTTTTGGATAACAATAGTCCTTTTGAAAAGACATTGAAGAAACATGTACATTGAAGAACCAATATAACTAAGTCCTAGGTCCTAGGTCTGAATTCATGAGGAAGAAGATCAAATATATAATATTGTTATGAAGAGGCCAGAGGTTAGGGATGGTCATACATGTACGTGTATGTACCCTAGTTCTGCTCTATTATGTTTATGTATAGGATAAGGGAAATTGTGTTCAGACATTCACAATCACATTCTAAAGACTTTTATCATTATCTAAATTCCTTTATTTAAAAAAATACATGTTAGCAATGAGAGAAGAATTGTCTGTTTTTCTAGAAGTAAAACAAAACAAAACAAATCCTATCATTAAATTTGCAGTCTTTACACTGTACAGTACTCCAGAACTCCAGTTTTTTTAAGTGACATACATATGTTCAAAGGAGCCCTTTAAAAAAATGTCTTTATGAAAGTGAAATTCTCAATGATATTCTTTACTTTTTTATTCTCTTTTTTTGAACATTTTAAAGTGTATATTACACCTCACCTATGTATTTATTTATTTTGCAGTACAGTAAAAACAAAATAGTGGTGATGAATAGCGCCATCACTGGCATCAGTAAATGTATCTTTTTTACATATATATTTTCACAACAGAACTAGTGTACCATTATAAAACTAGACATATAATACTTGTTTGGAACAAGTATAGGTGAGCTGGTCAACTTAAATTTGAGACAAAATAGAGCAAAAATAACTGAAGCGAGATACTGCTTAAAAATTCTTAAAAAACAATATCATGTAGTTTCATGACGTGAACGAAATTCACCTACTATAGGGATAACGGAAATTATGAAATGTTTGACATGAGGCCTTTAATCGAGATTTTCACTATGATGACGTCATCAAAATAAAAAATAGTTATTACTGCGCTTGTAGAGAATTGTCTTAGCTACAACATATCGAAATTTTGAAGAAAATTGATCAATATTTACAGAGATACAATCAATTTTACATATTGCTGACGTAATAATATGCAAATTCGTATTTTGAGTTCCAAGGCCATTGTGATGATGTCACGATACACTTAATGGCCAAATGAGACATGAAATCATATCTCCGACTCATACTCTATCAGAATATGAAAAAAAATTGAGGATCTCGGTGCATTTCAAAGAGCTATAATGGATTTTGTATAGGCATGTTTTTGCCCATATATGCTATGTATTATAAGAGCTCGCGCGCACGGACATTTATCTTGAATGGACGCTCATCTTAATATTAATAGTCATAAAGAGATGAACATAGTATTAAATTGTTTAAACAAATATGGAATTTATCATGAAAGAAAAAAAATGGCGATTCTGCGTTGTGTAATGGTGTTACGCGCGAAAACGCGCACGCATGCGCGTGTGCGTGATTTTTTTATAAAATGCTTAAAATGACCTGAAACGTATGCAAAATAAATTAAAGACGATTTTGAGCATTTTAAAATTTTGCGCGCGCACTGACGCGCGGACGTACGCGCACGCGCGCGTTTTTTGTCCTGAAATTGTCCGGACTGATATTGACCTTGATCATGATAAATATGAATGAGAAATGACGTACCGTTATGAAAAGATGATCATGAGTAAATTTTCAGAAAATTTCACAAAATGGCGCCTAGATGACGTCATCAGTCAAGGTCAAGGTTGAAAAGTTTGCTGTGTTTTGTTCATATGCCTATACATATGTGTGTCAAATTTCAAGGTATTTGATTGAACCATTTTCAAATTATCTTGAACACAAAAAAGTGGGTAGAAATAAGAAAAATAAATAAATAAATAAATAAATAATAAATAAAGGCGATTTTAACAAAAATATAAGGTGGTCTGTATTAGATACAGCCCACCTGATTATCAATAATGATTAATGATGGGAGAAAAATAATTGTAACTGACACATTCAGCACTTACAGTACATGTAGTATCATTTGCACGGGAGAAACAAGAGGTTCTATCTTGACTGTTATAGAAGTATACAGTGAGCCCTCTTGTGTTGAGAAAGATATTGAGAGATTTACTATCTTTCTTTCCTTGGGTTTGGAAAAGTGTTCTTGTTGTGGTAATGATGAAGCATTTAGTGAGTCATAGCTTGGCTATTCCATTCAGGTGTGGTGATGAAAACAAAGAGAGTTATTTACAGCAGGGTCTCAGTGGGTCTTCCCTCTCTGGTTTTGATAGTGAATTTTGACTGAACTTTTTTGTTTGGAGGCGGAGATATGGGATTCTCTCTGTGTAGGAGTTGTTGACATCATTGGTTAGGTTATAATTTTATCCCATGAGTCATTGATAAATGTTTTTAGTGAATACTATTTTGTGGTAAATTAATACAACATACAGTGTTTATGTAAAAGTGAGATTATTGGCAAGATGGAGGGGGAGGGGGCGGCGAAATCAGAATCCAATAGTCTTCAAAGTAATCATTTAAACTAGACTGATAATAATATAAAAGCACTCTAGTCATGTCAAACAAACTCTTCCTTTTTAAAAATAGAATATCATTTTAAATTCAGTCATGGTTCATATCTCAAATATATACTATTGCAACTAATGTAGAAAAAGATTGTGCCAATTGCAAAGCATTTTTATTGTTCTATGTTCCACCCAAAATCACATCCAATGTTTTGTAATAAAAAAAAATTTGGCTATACTTCTGGTATTTCCTCAAGTAGAATATCTTATACTAAAAGAATTGTATTTTAAATGGGAACACTTTGCAAGATTTAAGTGAATTCAGCTGTCACCAAGAACCAATAACTGATGTTTTCCATTAATTTATTTCTTTTCCATCTACATGTTCTTCTCTTTTCTTTCCTCATGTTCAAATCATTATATTTGCATATCTTTCTTATTTTCTTTCCTGATCTAAACAGAAATCATCACAACTGGCTGCAGCTGGAGAAGAAGGTCTTGGACCATGACTTTCCGACCAAGTCTGGTATCCTTACCCTCTACTTCAGGGTGCAGTTCTTCATGGAGAGCATCAATCAACTCAGGGACAGTATTACTATTGAACTATTCTACCTACAGGCCAAAGAATCAGTATTCAAGGTGAGTGTTATTCAAATGATCAAATTGGAAGATTTGATATCTTAATGAACAATATGCCTGGATAATTAATAGTGATTTTGAAAATTTTGTTTGATAAATATGTGTCTGTTTCCCAGAAACAGTGTGAATAAACATGAAATGGGCTGCCAAATCAATTTGATCAATTTTCATGTTACATTTGCATATATATATATATATGTATGTCTGAAATCCTAGGCCCTAAAGTTCCAAATGCACCTGCTGTTACAGCATGTTTGCAGACTTTGAAATAAGCTTAAGGTTATCAGTGATAAAAATATAGATGTACTAATTGCAATCAGCAAAGGGCTTGAAGTAGTCAAGTGAATAGGCCTAACTATGCAGAAGTATTTACACAATTATTAGCAGCTTTATATTGATATCTAGTTTACTTTTTTTTTAACCATCCCATCTATTTTGCTGAGATATATTTAATTCATATTTTTGGGATGATATTTGATGAATATTGAGTACTACATGTACAGTAGTATTCGCACAGATTCTCCTTTGTCTATTCTAAGTCGTACTCCAGCTGTGACAAATGGAGTCATTATCAGCTGGACTGTGATGAGTGAATGAGAAAAAAGAGAGAAAGTGAGAGAGAGAGAGAGAGAGAGAGAGAATATTAATGAGTGGTATCATATCTGCGATTGTGCAAGTACAATGGCTTCCGCTCAACGAATACTCTGTAATCGTACCGTGGGCCATGCACTTTCATCCATCTCCACCCTGCTGTAATGAAGTGCTAATTGGGTCGACTCCCACTGAGAGACATTGCACATAGCAGATAGACATGGATGCCTTGTCATCCGGCTTTAATGATCCAACTTCCGCAATGTGTAGGTGTGGATAGGTTTCCATGTTGTTCCGTCATTCGCAATCCACTTGAGCTAGATGATGTGGGGCACCTACCTCTTCAGAGTTATTTTCTAGATTCATGTTATAAATAAAAAGTATTCTTCTGTGTAGTCTGCTTACTTCAACGTTTAAGATTCATGCAAAACTTTGACATAAGTGTGTGTCGTAAGGGTAGGGTGCTTGTGCCAATAATTTACTCGCCGCATAGTGAGACAAAAACTATGAAACTGCTTGAATCACGTACATGTATGATAAAAGTGAAACTGCTGTGTACCTTCTAAACTTGATACTGCTGGCACAGTTGTAGTGGTATCTTTTACGATTATCAGCATGACATCACAGTCACATGACTGAGTTGTCAACTTGAGAAGGGTTATGGGAGAGATTTTTTGGCAATGTGCGATTGAAGTTCAGCTATTATTACACTTCAGTCTATGTTTTAGCCAAAGCCACTTTTATAAAGAGAGTAGAATGAGTAATTTCATGCCAAATATTTCATTCAAATCCATGTTTTGTATCCGGGCCAAGATTGCAGTTATGGTAATTAAGTTTGTATCATTTGACATTGACATTTCTATGCTGATGTAAATCATGATATTCATCTAAACTTCCTAACATCTGATGTCCTTGTGTCAGGGAACATTAATTTCTGTTTATTCTGCATACATGCACATCTGTCAAACTCTGGTTGCCAACTATTTTGTCATAGCTTTGATAACACAAAACTGGTGATGGCATGAGGACAGATTGAAGAATTGCAAACATCTATAGTAATAAAATGAATTTATTTACAGATATTTTTATTTTTTTAAATGCATTCTATAGAACAGCTTCTTAGTACCAAGCATGCTACATGCAGGACATATATGAAGAGTCTTTTGACAAATATATGACATTATTTAATGCATCCCTACTTTCCAATACCTAGACCCCCCCCCCAAAAAAAAAAAGAGGGGAAAAGTCAATACTTTTAGATTGACATGAAAATTCGGTCACATCAAAGGCACTTAAAATCATGTTTTTCCCCATTCATTGATCACCGCTAAATGATCAAAGCAGTTGGCTCCAATCTTTATAATGCAGACACATTTCTTTCAGTCTGTTATTCCCTTTAAAAATAATACCCCATCTACTTACATGACCCCCTTATTAGGAGGACACTTACCCTTGCTTCTGTTTTACACCCCCGAGGCTGGTTTTCACCATCGATCTTAATTTTCACTGTCTATTTCAAGTCCAAATATATTTAGCTGCTTCACTCTCCAAACCTATTTGTGGCATAATCGAATCAGCCACTCTAGACATTCATGGAAATGTACATCAGTTTGAACAAGAATTCTCAATCTTTGTCACCAAATTATTTTCTAAAGCTGGCCATGTCTGGTTATTGGATGAGAATGAGTCATCCATGATTTAAAGGTTTTAACTTCACTTTCATTTGTAAAATGGATAATTAGTTGATGAAACCAAAGAGATACCAGCAACCTCTTTGATGAAACTACACAATTTTCATCATACAATAACAGCAACATTGGTGTCTGTAACCTACATCTATAAAACTTAAAATGATAGATGATTGATAGTATGAGGGTAATCACATTGATGGGTCAAAACATCCTGTGGGAAATTCTGATTAACAGACCAGAAGGAAAAGTAGGTCAAAGTCACCTTTACCATCAATTTTCAAAGAATTATTTTATTTACAAACATGTAGACCCTTTATACTCTGTCACACCTACCAAGTTATCCCTTTTTTTTTAGGGGGGGGGGGCATTAATAATAATAATAATAAAGCAGTGACAGAAGTTTGAAAAAAGTCAATGTAGGCCTACATGTATACCTAATAGATGAAATATTCTTATTTCTATGTAAAAAGAAGGATTAGAAGATGAGGAGGAAAGTAGCATACATGTTTTTTTTTATCCTGAACTTATGATTAAAACTCCTTTAATGATTAAACAAAAAAATTACAAGTCTGGTTTCTGCTATTTATAATATGTCGGGGATTTCTAACTGCAACCTTTCGCAAGATATTGTGAGGAAAGAAGCGTGCAGCAATGCAATGCAATGCGATAGATTTACAATTGAACTTGATAAGTCTCTTGTTTCATCCAGGGTTGCCTAGCATCTTACATGATCCATCTTCATCGTCAGCATTGTGTTCACACGCAGCTAGCTTAGACACCCAGGTACGGGTGACTTGACATCCTGGTAGATACCCAGAGACAATGTAGAAGCAGATACACCAGATACACTGTATACCCAGATACAAGAGACTCGATCAAGACTTGTAGAATTTCATAGTTTTCATTGTTGCTCCTGTTGTAATTTCAAATCTAACTTCAGGACATCCCGAGGGGCAGGCATAAAACAAAAATGAGGCTCTAGAAATTAACACTTGACATATCAATATTTTGACACTGGAAACTACTGAAAATGGCGTCTTATGGCGTAATATGGCGTAATATAATTACACCTACTGTACATGCATGTTAAATTAACCAGGAACCGCTGTTAAATTTTCATTGACATTTGAACAAATAAACTCCTATTAAAAAACATGGAATTACAAGGGGAAAAAAAGAACCTGACAACTTGACAAGTTCAGAAAAAGCATTTAAAAACACATTACCGGTATATAGAGATAAAATTCTGAAGTAATTGGAACACCTAAATAAAAACCGTCGCCCCTATTAATGCACTTACACATATAGCATCTCAAAATTCAAACTAGGTTAATAAGGATTAGAGAGCTCAGTGGTGCAATTAAATATATGTGATCTTTGCATTATGACCTCTATAATCGCCAAAGGTTATGATAGAACTAGGCACACCCTTCTATGCTTTGACTTGCAACATCAAGAAGGCAAGTCATATTGCTTGAAATAAACTATACAGTACAAGACTGTGAACATTAATATTCAAAGACGAGTGTGTAGAGAATAGGGAATAATGGTTGTGTAGAAAATATTCATGTCACTGGATTGTCAGTGAGGGTATGAAAAATAATTTGTTTGACTGAGGACTTTCAAAATGAAATATCGACTGAAATCAGTATGGGTAATATTGACTGGAGAAGCTGTGGTTGTTTCGTACATGTATCTTATAATCATAGTTTTTTTGTGCATGTACTCTTCATACATCATTGTTGAACTTGGGGTATCTAGTGGTGCCTGGTACATTTACATCTGGTAATAGGATTTGTGTATTTTGCAGCATTGCAGTATTCTCAATGTAAATAAACCCCTTATTTCTATGCCTGGATCTGGCTTGATACTTCAGTGATATGCAGTGGTAACAATAGGCCTGTCCTCATCAGCTCAAGATTGCCAGATAACCCGCTATTTTAAGTATCCCGTTCACAAATAATCCGGCTAATTTGCATCTTCACCAGCCCGCAGTTGCAATTAGCGGGATATTTGGTCGAGATAATCATCCAAAGATACATTGGGTTAGTTTGCAAAATATCCCGCTATTTGTCCGGTGCGTCTTCACCAGCCCGAAGACTCGCACTATGCCCGAAAGCTTAGCAAAATATCTTGAGCTAATTTCTCGAGGTCGAGTCTCGATCTGATGAAGACGCGATTTGTAACTTCTGGGAAATGGCAGGCTATTTGGCAATCTCGAGCTGATGAAGACATACCTAGATAGAAATTAGAAGGGAAGATCTTCTTACTACTGCATCTGCACATTAATATGAATTCCCTGTTGGCTGATTTCAAGCTGCTTATTTGTCAGGTTTGATTTATGGTATGTCAGTTGAAAGGGAAGATGCTAAGGAGAAAGTTAGAGAAAAAGAAAATTGCGGTTGGATATTTTCTGTCAGATGATACCTTGATAACTTAGCACATGGCGCTAAACAAGAAGATACAACCTTATAAGGGATGTACAAGCTGTGCTCCATGTTCTAAGATTTCACCTGGAAGTTCTTGCTACAATTTTCATGATGCAGAAATATGAGAACTATGAAATGTGAATCCCAAACGTTGAGGCCAAATTAGGATACTGGTACATGTAGTTTTACTTTCAGATTGAGATCTACAAGTACCAATACTCAGATCCTAAGATGTACATTACATGTATAAAGTGCATTTATCGTGTATGAAAGAAGCGATTTTTGGTTCTGTTGAGGTTATGAATTCTTTCAATGTTATTTTTTTGCAGGGGGACATAGAAGCTGATAGCGAGACTGTATTTGAACTTGGAGCTTATGTCTTACAAGCAACAGAAGGAGATTATACAAGGTGAGAGGAAAATACAAAAAGAGTGAAAACGTATATAAGATTACCAACTAATGTCTCCCAAATAGGAAACGATGAAAAGAGAGTCTATCTAAATCTAATGTTTTTTAAATTTATTTTTTAGTTTATTTTTTTGGTCTTGTTAATGAGCCTTTTCAGCAGTGAGTTTATTCATTCTTACTTTCTATGACTAAGCATCTTGCAAGGGGAATACGTGTAGCGATTTACACCCTCTCATATTTCAAATAGATCAGAATTTAGGTCAGCTTTTAGGACTTCTCTACGGTCATTGCAAAGAGATAATTCTACAGGAAATAATTGATTTAGATTTTTATCCTGCTGGTGTAACCGATATATATATTTATTCTATTTTGTGCAAATTAATAGTATCACTCAATTATGGGAGATGGGCTTTTGGACTGGGGTATTTTTGTTTTTATGCGCAGTTAGAATTCAGGCCAATGAAAGTGGTTTCCTGGCAAAAGTGTGCTCATATGTATATGTATATTACTGAAATACATGATACTAAAGAGGTTACGCAAGGGCATTAATTGAATATTATATAAAAAAAGATTTGTAATGGTGAGTTGATTTCTTACGTGGACCTTCACATAGTTATCATCTGTTGAGAGCCAGAAGGGCATTAAGTAATTCATGTATTGCACAGAGTTAACTCTATTCTGGCTCCAAAAAGACAATATGGTAGGAGAACATTATTGAGTATTTTTACCTCTTGAGGAGAAAGAAAAAAAAATAAGTGAAAGCACATGTCCCACCGCATGTTTAGGAAGAAAGATAGCTGTTTATGATTTTCACTTCTTCTGCAGTATCATGGGAATAGGCATTTTTTCAACCATTTTCTAACCATGTTCTAATAATAGACTTCTGGACACGAGCAAAATTCTGTTTTGGAGAAAACCAAATTTGCACTCTGCAGGTGTTTGCCATTCCCTCTTCATTTGTTTCGTATAGAGCAGGATGTAAGATTATAATGGATGAATAAATAATATTTCCAAGATTCCACGCTTTCATGCTGCTGAACATTCCTTGTGTGTCTTTCCTTTATTATCATAAGAAAAGCAAACTGTTTTCCTTCCTGTTTTCCCCCACGTAAGTTTATTTTTGGTTCGCGTGAAGTTGATGTTGTGTGAATTCTAACAGTAAAATCGAAGGGTTGGTCAGTTTTTTTTATTTGCACATGATAAGGATTGTGGCATCCCATGAGATCTTTTCTTCAGCTCTATTTATTCTTCAATATCTTTAAATAAACAAAGCATAGGGACAAGGAATTAATGGCTGTTATTGTCTTCAGCAATCATACAAATGTATGCAATACACTTAAGGTGTAGATGCATGTACAATGTATGTAGTCCATGGGAATTCTTGTACATGTAAATTCTATACATGTGGGAAAGAACCAAGTCTCAATCTTTCCCAATTTTCCCAGTTTTGCTGCTGCTCAACTGTGACCTGTGACCTGTAAATATATCTAGAAGAGTTTGCCATATGACTAATTAGTCAAATTATTGACAAAGGAAACAGATGTTATTTTCACTGACCTTATAAATTCAAAATTACTTGAAGGAAATGATGTAAAAATCATCCATGTTGATGACTGAAATGCCTTGTCAGTACCTGCTGAGTACAGCTTTTGAATGATAATACTGACAGAGATTTATTGTGGTGTAAATTCTCCTTTCTTTGGAAAATTGGGGAATAAATCTACGTTGGTGATTGATAATTTGTTATTCCCGAAATTGAGATTTGACCCCTATCTTCCATGTGCGAAGCATTTGATGCAGGAAGTATTGATCTTATTAGACACGAGGGGTGATATAAATGTGTGCTGACTTTCCCCAGCCTAATATATGCTACGAGCCATAAGTCATGGCCATCATGAAAATAACAAGTTATTAAAGTTCCCAAGATTTCCTTTGAATGGGGCTGTTTTCATCCTGAGATGTCGCATCTCGTTCAGCTCCAGGCCCACTCATGGGACTTCATATCACAGTAGGATGAACAGGTGCCTTAGTGCTAGCTCCCTAGTACTGTTGAACCACGTTGTAACCAGGACTCGATCTGCACTGAAAGCTAGTGGACAAGTCCTCTTAGGTTCAAGCCCAAAATTTGATACATCCTGATCATTCACAAGAAGAAGGGGGGAAAACAGGGATGATCCAGGATGATGATCCCATATTACAGGATTCATATATTAATTCAAGCAAGGAGTTATTGGTTCAAGGGTCTATTAGATATCACACATATATTGGAAGAGATTCCTTCAGTAACCTAACCACTGAGCATCCACTGATGCCTGAGGAAGTGCTCTTTGACTGTGCAGTCATACTTCAGTTGATAGAGTTGTAGGAAACTTGTTACTTTGTCAGATGATCATCATAACTTACCAAGATGGAATACATTCTTATTTACAGTGACCAAGAGGCTCACAAGGTGCTGAAGAAATTACCTGTACTGCCTCAGTTTACACTAAGGGAACATCCGTCTCTGGCCTACTGTGAAGAAAGGATACTCTTCTACTACAAACGACTTGGTGGACTCAGCAAAGGCCAGTGTATTGTATGGTGAGTTTTGGCATATTTTGTTGTTTACAAATCATGAAAAGGAAACAGTTACAGTTGAAATTATTTAAAGGTTGTATGCTACTTGATGCACAGGGTTTGGTCAAGGTCATGAATTTTGAGAAATAAGCATCTTAAACAAAATTTGAAAGCTACATGTACAAGAGGAATGCATAAGCTGAGTTTATCTGTCTCGCATGAAAAATGTTGTACACTATTCTCCATTTAAAGGATGTTCTGTAATCATTTTTTACTATTTTTCTAATTTATTCACGTGGTTAAACCTTCACCATTATGTTCATACACAATGGCATCTTTGAGATACTCATCATTCAGTGAATCAGTTAAAATATGAGAAATTCATGGATGATGAATAATCTTTATTCATTCGTGCAAGGGGTTCAGGATAAACTTTGTAGGTGTTTTCCTCTTATATTGTGATACATGTGGGTGGATAATCAGAACAAGAACATTCAGGATTTTATCAACACTTTGCATTTCCCTTACAACCAGTATAATATCAGTTACTGCAGTGTGATGTACATGTACCTCCATCTGTTTCCTTGTGGAAATGCCATTCGCACAAAGAGTTTGACACTACCTCGTATTCAGCTACCTCAGATTCTTCATTGTCATGCGCATTCCTTTTATTTAAGTCGCCTTTGGGAATTTGTGCGAAGATTTTCTTTTTCACAAATTCTTGATGCTGCATAAGTTAGGAAGATTATAGAGAAGTCGTGCACCACCTTATGCTCTCAAGTCACATTGGTAAACGTTTAGAAGATTTAAATGTAACACTTCATGCATCGTGCAGACTGTGAGGTGCTAGAATGTGGAGGTGTGTATTGAGATCGCTTAAATCAACCTCGGCTTTGTCACAACTAACCACGTGAAAAATATGGCCATAATCTTGACTTTATCAATGTTCATCTTCCTTTGGGTTAGACTAAGAGAGAGGGAGAAAAAAAAGTTATTTTGTTCATGCAGACGGGTGTGAAAGAAGCCTGCTACCCCAAGTAATTTCACTAATTACTATCGGAGTGTGGGGCAGCATCGTCTGTCTCTAGGGTTCATGCAATCTGATACGCTCATCATCGGTAGCAGCAATGGAGCAGTAAGGAGCAACCGAGAGGACAAACATCTTCAAGAATGTCTAGCTGCAGTTGCTAGGTCACTGTTTGCATCGATCCCGCAAGCCAACTCGTCCACTGTTATGTTTTCTTGCCTGCCTGGTGTATTAAAGACGAGGCACATACGTCAAGCTTGTCTCATTAGTGCGTCAGTGCTAGACTGACTCATTACCTTCTGTTTCTGCAGATGCGGTCCATCTCCATCCCCCCAAGACACTATTCCCACTGGATTCACCAGGCATTCATAAGCCCCTTGTAATCAAATGAAGACGTCCCCTGTTGTGCTAGTTATCATATATTTGAGTGCCTAGATGCGATTATAACATCCAAGCATATGCTGATTGTTCATTGTACCTCATTGGAGCATGAATAACATTCTCCATTATTCATATTTGTTATCCCTATAAAAGATCAACATGGACTAGTGTCTTTACTTTGAAAAGGAAGTATTAGAGCTTATCAGTTGATCACTATGACAACTGTGTGTGCTTGCTCTAGAGATTTATAATGCAAAAAAAGGTCCTTTGTCTGACTTTCTCATTAAAGGTACTATGTCCCATTTGCAGGCCCAAAAAATGAAAAAGTTGAATTCCAACTGCATTTGAAAGATAATACTGATTTAGAACTTCCCTAAAAAAGGTGGGGCTTGAAAATGTCTTCAAGTGGGAAAATAACAACTATAAGTTGTCAAATCGACTTTAGGGCTATAGAGCCCAAAAGTAATAGTCTTGATTTTCAGACAATTGTACCGAATGGTCATACGTTTTATGCTGCGCAAAGATTCAATTAGTTTAACCTTGGCCATCACAAGAAGTGGGTTATTGATGTAGAAAAATGCTCATGTAACCTTTACAACTCTTTTCATGTATGTTATTACCAAAGAAGAAAAAAAAGCCAGTCAGTCACTCAATAGTGTCTGACAGTAAAGTCTAGCAAGTAAACTGGTTTCCTTGCATAATTTGAATATGAGGACACTGCTAACGTTTAAATTTCACAGATAGGACATACATGACATATTCATAATTCCTGCAAAGTTCTACAGAATTTGAGGTTGGCTGCAAAAGGGACATAGTACCTTTAAAGGGGCCAGGTAAAGAGGGTTCCAACATACATGTATACATGTAACTGTGAGGACTTGATTACATTGTAGCAAAGCGCACGTCTGGGAAATAAAACAGTGGATGATTCAAATACAATGCTAACATGATTTTAAAGACTTTCAAAACAAAAATCAACATTAGGGCAATTTCAATACCCCTTTTCTTGCCCATAGCAATTATGTTCTGATTACGTAATATGTTGTTGTCATGTTTTGCACATTACAATAAGTGGCGTATATAAGGCTAATGAAATTGCCTTAGGTTGACTTGTTGAAGTCTTTTCAATTCTGTTTGCTATGTATTTGTGTTTATGGTAGAAAGCATTAAATAGGCATGATTGATAACCTCCATGCAAATAGATTGTTTGCAGAAAGCAAGCAAATAATATCAGTTTCATGTGGTAATTATTAATTGAGATATCGTTAAATCAGGGACTTCCCCAAAACTTTTGTGAAAAGAATAGTGTAAATATGTCAAAGTACTAAGTTCACACATTTACATGAAGATCTCAGAACAAGGAAATAATATTCTCAAGTAAGTGAAACCTAGGAAGTTTTGCAAACGTCAATGCTTTCAATTATTCACATTTTTTTTCTCTTTCAAAATATGCTCTGGATACCAGGTATGTAAAAACTGGTACTTATAACATGGATATCAAAACCTTTTAATGACAGTTTTTCCCCAATACGATTACCACAATAACACTTCAACATTGTTATATTATGGTAATTGTGTAATATAGCATTTCGTTTAAATATTATTTGTACGTCATACCTATAAATACTGGCCTTTTAAAACATTTTTGTAACAATCAACATCATTGCCACTATACACCCTGTATGTGTTATGTAACCTGAGGTATTGCTGTCTGAAGTCCTTCTGTGGATCCTTACTTTCATGTCATAGTGATGCATAGACCTGAGTGCATGTTATTGTTTGTTCATCGTGTCAAAGGTCAAATGATTGTATATATTTTTTATGGTGGTTGAAATTGGAATTGAAGTATGTAAGATGAAAATGGTCCTGTGTGTCACTTAACCTTCAGGATGAGGACTGTTTCCTCTGGTAAAGCAGAACAGGAAGAGTTACCCAGTTATCTCCTCCATCACATGACACATGGTCAGATTGATTTCCGGTCGCTGTATTTGAAATGCCACGTTTGCAATTATTTAAAAAAATGAAAGTCAGTCTTCTTGTTCCTTAGAATGCACATGTTAATCTTTTATAATGTTATCTATCTCTTTAAGTATGTCCAGGAATATAAATGACTGTACGTTTAATTTGTTAAGTTTGATAGAAAAATACAGAAATGCTATGGGGGGGGGGGGGTGTATATAAAATTCACAAAAGCTTTATATGAAGAAGTAATTCACCATTCGAAGTGACACAAATTTGATTCAGATACTTGTGGAATTGATTTTAAAGGTGAACCCTCCACATTTAATAAGATAATGTACCTCCCCAAGTTTCATGAAAGCAAATCATACTTTTATTCATAAGATGAAGGTTTTATATTAATCTTCTCATTACATCAGCTATGTATTTATATACTTATTCATTTATTTATATATTTATTTATTTATTCATTTATTTATTTATTTAGTTTCATAATGTCAAAGACATTTCTTTAGCTATTAGTCATGAATGAATGTTAGTTCTTTGTGCTTATCTACCTGTATAAAGGTCCTTCTGCTTGAGTTTATTCTTACCTTTGGTTGTTCTTGTGCCTTCAAGATTTGGCTAATCTTGGCAAACACCTGATACATTGAATCCCATTGAGACTCTCTGAAAATTGGAATGGCTTGATTATATTAGACCAATCAGCAGGTCAATTAAGCCTCCTAGTGCAGTCCCTTCTAATCAGACCTCGTTATTGTCAAACTCAATGTTTTGAGACCCCTTGTCGGGCTCTAAAGTGGAAAATTGCTAACATTTGCCTGGCCATGATATGTCTTATTGCAAATTTACCAGTGTAATGAGCCAAAAGTCTGGTTCTTATTCACGAGAAGAGTTAATTCTATGTGCTGCATGTATTTGAGTTTCAAATGAAAAGTAGAAGAATAAAAATACAAAATCAAGAACTAGGGATGTTTCAGACAATGATTGATTCATGAATTGAGCCAGAAAACAAATATCAACATTACATATGATTTCTTGAAATGTAAGCACCTCAAGAATTAAAAAGCTCTCTGGACCTAGCATTCATATCCGAACAGAAGTAACAAAATAAAACACATGTATTTGTTGACCTCTTTTATCTTTACCACTTAAATTAATTGAGATATAGAGAATCTATCAACACCTTGATGTAGCAGTTTGCACATTTCAGGCTGTTTCAGGACATTACTGCAAGAGTGATGTCCTAAACGCTCCCAGGAGACTCAAGCATATTGTGTGAAAGCTCTCATCCTATTGATATGCACACACACTCTCAAACACACTGGGTGATACCTGTGCCTACATACACAGCCGGTTTGCTCTGAAGTGCTCAGTCATGCCAGTGGTATGTTCCTCATTCACTCGTGAGGCGATGATGGTGGTACGTGGATGTAGATTTCATATGCATGATGATTCAGGCTTGCAAGATTTACAGACAATTCTACCTATATACAATTGTCTGTATGTTGTTTCCTTGGTGATGTTTACTCCCGGTAGCAGCATTGTTTGAATTATACACAGGTGTGCATGTATTCTAGTGGATATCCAGAGGTGAGTTGGAGATATACATACCAAATATATAAATTGAACTGATTTTAGAATGCATGGTGGAATT